AAAAAGTTCTCCACTGCCTTAACCGGGTATTGAACTCACACTCTTTGGGTCCTGTCACTGGATCTAACCAACGCCTTTATCCACTCTGCCATGTGTCCTTGTAAATAATGTACATAATACCTCATCTCAGAAATATAGACAGACCCAAAAAGTATACTTAAAAAAAAAAAAATGAAAAACAGTGTCTGATAATGCAACATTGATGTCTATTTCATGCCACCCACACATCCCACCACCCAATAAAAGAAGCAAAGAGTAAAACGAAGAACTAGTAAAAAAAAAAGAAAGTATTTTAAAGAACATCAAATGATTAATGCTGTTTTTATTATTTAAAATTATAAAAAACATTGGCCTTCCTGTACATACAGGAAAGTTTCTTTTGTCTGAAGACATTTTTGAGCTCCCCCTCCCCTCCTTAAATGTTATTTGAACACTGAACTGAATGTTAAATACAAATGTCGCCACTTGTTAGTTAAAAGTTAACATTTTGCACTTGTAGTCTTAAAGTATGTAAACAACAAAAATACAAAATCTTTAAAGACGTAAACTATCCAGTTCATTGGACAAATGATTCATGTTTGGTTACAGAAAGAATATATTAGTTACATTCTAGATTAAATTGAGATCATTGGTTACTTAGTATCAACCAACAACAAAAAAACACTAATCATAAATATTATGTCAACCGCTGAAAAAAAGTTTATTAACCAATATTTCAAACATGCTAGAAAGGATTAAAAATGTAATAAAATAATAAAAAAGATACTTTGGTCTTTCCTCTTCATAAAATATACATTTTGATGATAATTTTTTTTTTTTATTAGGTTTGGGGCCTTTTTTCATTATGTTATGCTGTTTTTTTTCAGCGAGCAAGTGGAGGTTCCCACTCTAAAAATGCCCACAGGATAGCTGGAACTCAATTGTTACAATTCTGTTCAGTAAAGTGTATGATTAGAATCTCTAAAGGCTATTCACAGTTTTGACCTACTCTTGAACTTGTAATGACTGGAACAAGCTGATTTTCTCAAATATACATGTGTGACAGCATCTTTCTATAGCATAAACAGCAAACACCAAGTTTTAAAAAAAATTTACACATAAGAATGAGTAACATTATCTTCACAATCTTGATAATTAATGAAAGCATAGTCAAAAGTGCAAATCATGAACATTAAAACAATATTTACATTCAGTGGATCTGAACATGCATTTCCTTGTATGGAAAATGTAGCATTTTTTATCTATTGACTTAGTTAAACTTCTATAAATGAAAGACTGCTACCAAACCACACACACAAAGTGGTAATTGTAACCACTTCAAATTACTCGGTCCTCACTTCACCAACTGGATTTATTTTTGTAAAACAAATGCAGAGAAATGGACATTATAATGGGTTGTCATGAGGTGTTGAGTCATCCAGTTTGCTTCCTCTTCAAATTTTCTGTTTATTTATCTTTGCAATGACTGTTTACAAGACAGAAGGCAAAAATCCAATGACAATGACAGCTTCTAAAGAAAAAAAATTTTGAGTAATTCCACTATTTATAATCATTAAAACATTTTTGTTCATTTTTTTTGTGCGTGGTTGTTGCGACATATGTAGTAAAGATATTGATTCTTCATAGGATTGAAAACCAGGGTCAGACAAAATTTTTCACCATTGTCCTGGAACAATCACAGAAAGCAACTTTAATCCTGCTGAAAAAAAATTAAAATGTCCCCCAATTTTATTTTATTTTTTTTTTTTTCTTGTCATTTATAGTGATTATTAAAATAATTAAAACCCATTTAGGAAATAAATTTAAAAACTGAAATGTCAATATTTTAAAAATGAATAAAGACAAACAAATTAACTTTTACTGTAATTTTTATGAAATTCACAATTTTACTTTTTATTTAAACATTTCACTTAAATTGCCTTAACTAATTTTACATGTAAATGTTCTCATTTTCATGTTAAGAATGACTTTTGTCATACTTTAAAAATTGTTCTTCATGCATTCATTTTCTACATGAAGCACAATCCAACTATTCACAAAAATGTTTTTAAAGTCTTTATCAGGAAAGGCAAACATCTTGCCTAAATTTTCGATGTTTATTTTTTTTAAATTCTTACTTGTATTTTCAATTTAGTTTACATTTGTGTCATGTTTTCTACATGACACAAATGTTTGTTAATAGCTCAAATTTTTAACCTAAAAATACAAAAAATATATTAAAACAAAATTGGATTTTACAATAAGAAATTAATATTTTTTATATTTAGATAATACAAATATATAAATTTAATTCCTTTTGCTCCATTTATTAAACACCCACTACTATTGGTGAGAAATAGGTTTTTATTTCAAGAAACTAGCCAAGAAGCAGCACTCTGGGCAAACTTTAGGCTAGCTTCTGCAAAGGGCTTTTGGGCCTTTGGCCTTTTACCTTCTGCATCCTATGTGCATATAAATTATAAGAATTTAGGAATAATAAAATTATTTGATCTTTATTCAACACCTTAATTTGTATACACAACTGATCTGCTTAGTTTGTTTACTTTTATTTTGTGTGCAATTTTCATTTTCTTTTAAAATCACCATTCTTCATGATACCTTTGCAAGAAGTTACTCTTAAAAGACATTAGGGAACCCGAAATATGTAATATTTCAAATATGTCACAGTACACGTGCTAAGAAAAAAAAAACATGAGCAATGTAACATTCCCCACTTAAGTTTTAATTAGATGATATCAATTGCAACAAAAAAATCTTTAATAAAGACTTTGATGTTTAAATTTAACTTTAAATGAGTTATTTATTTAATTTTTAATCATGTGTAACTACAGCCATTACTATCCATTATTTCAGGTTATTTATGATTATCTGAGATCAAAAAACAAATGGACGTACATAACTTGTGCTTTATTTATATAGATTAGTTGAATTTTAGAATTTTAATTAAAAATTTGTATCATCCTAGCATTGTCCCAGAAGCCTTAACCATTTCTCCCAAACTAATATTCTTGGGATGACATTACTTTTGAGCTTTAGTGAAAACCAGACTGGTTTAAATTTGAGACAAGTTTGACATGGGTGAATCTTATCTTTTTACTACTGTCAATTTGAATACTTGTTAAATCTACAATACAGAATATCAAGTATAATTTATCCAATTACCTGTAATCTTTGCAATAGTATTATTTTTAATTTATTTTTTTATTATTATTAGTTAAATTTTTTTTTTATTATTATTAGTTAAAGTTTTGCCAGCCATCATTATTAATTTTTAATTGTATTTACTTTCATAATTTTTTTTTTTTTTTTTTTTCCAATTTACTCAGGCTCTTGATCTGTGGCAGCAGATACACAACATGGGATTGGCAATAAACATCTCGTGGTGAGACTTGAACATGCATCCCTTTTTTGCCTCAGGGAAGTCTGGATGAAAACATTAACTGCTTTGCAGGAAATAAAATTTAGCCTACAACTTTCCATTCTATTCCATGATCTCTCCGTGTCATTTTTAGTTTTACATGATTCGGCTAGGCTTCCTTGGATGAAAATCAAATTCAAATCTCGCAAAAAGCCTCTCCTTTGTTTCATAAATATGAGGGTCTTGCTGAAAGTAATGACTCCTATTTCATTATGTAGGCCCACAACAGTAAAGGTTGAACCTTCCAGCCAATAGCACACAATACATATTGCTTTGTTAGACATAGTAGTTTAGCCAGATGACATCTGAAAGTGAGTAGTTACATATATTGACCTTCATCAATTTTTGCTGAATGTTTACAGAAACCAAACAGTGGATATGAACACAGGAGGTAGTGATTTCTGTGTGCATGATGCAGATTTTTACACACTTAAAATGCCGACTCTTGTCTAATGAAACTTAATGAAGGGGGTAGCGTATAGCTGAAAATTTGGTTTTGATGGGTCTCTAGTCAGAATGAATAATTATACCTTTGAGCCTATTCTATTACTAATCCAGATAGAATTTCGGCTTATCTGTTTCAAATTACCTTAATTATTGCACAAGCTTTCATTTCTATATTAGTTTATCCACATATATAAAATTAGTATTTTATTAAGTCATGATTATTAGGTTTTCACATGTGAGTCTTTCCAGCTATTATTGTTGTACTCTGCTCTTTCGTGGAGTCAATCATTCCATCTTCTAACTTTATAAATGTTATGGTCCAAGTTAGGACCAAGGAAGAACAACACGAACACGAGTAGAAATGACGAAGGTATATTACACGAAATAATAATACAAGATGTGGAAGATATGACTGTCAGTCTGGCTTGGAGTGAACTACTATCAGCTCGACTCGATTCGGTATCTAGAAATTGTCCAAATGTTCTATGTTTGAGTGTTTTTAGATATTCTGACTATTCAAGAAATCTTGTTACAGGACACATATTTTTCTAAAAAGATTTCTTGAATATTCAGCTTTGTAGCTGTAAATAAATATACTGTTTAATAAATAAATAAAAACAGCATTTACTCAAATATGAGTATCCATTTAAAAATAATGTTTAAACAAATAAATTTTATCAGTTCTTTCATGCAAATTATTCTGTTTATTTAATCTTTATAATGCATCATAGGCAAACTAACTGCAACTTTAGAAATGTTTTTCTTAACTTTTTTTTTTGTTCATCCAGCTGTGATTGAAAAATTTATGTGATTGGCAAATGAGATTGTCAACTATGTTGGTAAGGCATGTTGATATCCTCCAAAATACTATCCCACTTTGTTAAAAAAAAAACCAAAATCTTGAAAATCAAACATTCTGTTCAATATCAATATTTTGAAGTTGGCATTCTACTAGACTCTAACAAGAAGACATGGGGATTTAGATAAACTGTTGAAAAGAAATAGCTTTGTAAATTTTAAGTTATCTGATCTTTGTCAGCCTGTGAATTTGTTTTTCTTTTTCTAATTTTTTAATTTTTTTAATTTTTATTTGTTTGCTCCAATTATATTCTAATGTCTTTTGTATTTATTTCAGCTTTTAGATGGTAAAGCAGAAGTTTTTGGTACAGAACTGGTGAAAGGAAAGAAATGTACTTTCTTACCAAGCTCCAAATTGGCAGTATTTTCATGGCAGGGCTGTGGAGTAAAAATATCCTTTTAGCTGCATTTTAACATGATTTTAATTTTACCTTTGAGTGTTGTATGCAAGTATGTGTACAATTTGTATATGTTTTGTCATTAAGTTTTTATATATGTGTGTGTGACCTTGAAACATGATTGTACAACTGGAATAAATGTAGTTGGAATTGCAAAGTTGAAGAAAAAAAGGAAAATGGCTTCAAAAGTTGAGATAATATTTAAATTGATAATTTTTTATCATTTAACAAAATACTTATGTATTCCATCCTGGATATGATAAAATATATCTAGCAACAAAGCCTCTGATCAGAAGGTTTTGAGGAGTGTGGGAACCACTTCTTAATTGCTATTGGTCCCAGGTCAATCCAAACTAAGGGGGTAGTACCATCTGTTAGGTCCCAGCTATGGGCAAATAGTCCCCCCCACCCCGCCAGACTGGAGTTGAAACATTATTGAAGTATAAACATTTTGCTGGTAAAAAAATACCAGCAATACATTTTTGTAAAAGGAATTACTAATGCTCCCAAGAAAATAAAATTTCAGCATTAAATGACCCATTTGGAGTTGATATGCTGCCAAAAAAAAACTTACTACTAATTATGTATTAAGTGTGTGCAAAAGTTTACAGCAAAAAAGACAATTCTCAACTGAGTATTCTGTTTCTAGTGATCGATAAAAAGCACTGAACTTTTGCACCTGCTTAATATATTTTAAAAACAGTAATTTGGTTTTTATATTATTAAAATGATACCATCTATAATTTTAAGAACACATCCTCAATGAATGGAATTGCTTAAAATGAACTGAAACCATCAATATATTTGCCAACATTTTCCAAAACCAGAGATCTTACTTTCTCTCCCACACACATTGAAAAAGGCTGTAGAATGAATCGACCAAAATGTCACCATAAAAAATGAATAGTCTGAATAAATTTTGGGATATCAAAATTAATATTAAAAGTGTATTTTATTTTTCATAAATGAGACTTATGCAAAGTAGAACCTGCTTATTAAATAGGATTGCATGAAGAACTGGAAACATTGAAAATTTACTTTTCTTAAAGAAAAAATGTGCAGTAAATTATCTTAAGCGGACAGCTTTTTGATCAACTATCAAAAAGATTGTAGATAAATGTAGAAGATTAAACAATAAAATGAAATTCCCAATAAAAACAAGGTACAATGTTCTAAAAAGTGTCATCTAAATGAAATGAAAGTCTTGAATGGCCACCCTTCTAGATCTTTTTTTGTTTTAATGCTGGTGTACCCAAGGGCTGTATCCTTGGACGTATATTGCTCTTAATTTACATCAGTGACCTTCTTGATGTCATTAGTTCTCAACCTGGTATCTATGCTGATGACATGACAATTTACTCTTGTCTTAACCCTTCAGCATTCAACCCATCACCTAAATATCGGTTAACCACAGTAATCCATCCCATATATACTCTGCCATAATATGACAATGTCATTACAAATAATGCAGGAAGTCACACAACCAGTAAGACTTTGACTATAAACAGTGAAACTTTGGGAGCTGATATTTACAGGGTGCATTTGAGTGTGTTGAATGCTAAAGGGTTAATAAGTAAGTCTGATCAGTTCAATAAGGTCAAATTGGCAGCTGATCTAAAAAATGATCTAACAATCTGTTGTTACCTGGGGCAAGGAATGATTTGTTGATTTTAAGTCCTCCAAAACAAAACTTTCTTTTTAATCATCTGAGAGAACCTTTTTTGCTTTCCATCAGCATGGCTGATGCTAACCTCCAAGAGAGTGACACATCTTGGGCTAATGTTTACTGTGGACATGAAGTGGAAAGATTATATTGAATCAATTGCTAGGTTTGCTACTACAAAAGTTGCTTCACTTTGTCATGCCAGACAATTTTTCTTGCCAGAATTTATCTTACATATTTATAAGTCTATTGTTTATCCATGCATTGAATATTGCTGTCACATCTGGTCTAGTGATTATGCTATGTATTTAGAGATTCTTGATAAAATCCAAAGAAACTGCAATGTTATTAGTCCTGACCTGGCATCTTGGCATCAGTCACTTTCCCAATGCAATAACATTGCTTCCCTGTGCCTTTTCTAATACTTTCATAGTAATTGTTCTGATAAACTTTCCTCGATGGTATCTAGACTTAATGAATTTAAGTGCAGTACTAGATTGGCGACAAGATCTCGTTATTTTAAAGTTGAAATAACTAGCTGTAACCATGAGTTCTCTGCTAAATGTTCCTTCTATTGCACTTCTCGCTTGTGGAACATTTTTCCCAGTTTCTTGTATGACCGTCAAAAATTTAAATGCAATGTCAATTATTATGTTCTGTCTTAATTCTTGTTCTTTTATTGTTCTATCGCCTTAATGTTTTGTTTATTCTCATATTCTCTCACATTCAGTAATTCCTTGTATCTTAGTGGCTTTATTGCTTGATCTGAATTAAAAAGCTATAAAAAAAAATGTGTTTGAGGAATGGTTTAATGTTGTTGCTATTATCTACTGTTTTTCTTTTGTTTTCTTTTTCTCTCTCTCTCTCTCTCTCTCTCTCCAAATTTGATTGATTTTACCTTAACACTTGTGACATAAATGGGAAGACAGAAATGGCATATGTTGCCAAAGAAACACCAATGGTGATGTACTTGAATCTTCATGGTGCTCTGGAGCAAATGAGACAGAAAGCCGAATTGGAAATGTCAAGAGGTCCAAGAGTGAGTTAATGTTGACTCTCCACTGCCACATTTTATGTTGACTTTGGGGGTAGTTTCAGGTTTTGGCTTCTACATTATTTCATCAGTTGTCCTCTTTTTACAAAAATATTTTCTACTTTCTCATCGACATCAGTTATGCATTTTAACAATAAAATGGTAAGTATTTGCAATTCACATCAGAACAGTTCCTCAATTATTTATTGGAAAAAGGTCACTTTCATATTTTGAAATATTTTAGACTAAATGAATAGCAATCAGAATGAAGAATTGATGTTAATAATATATGCTAGACATGGCAATCTGATATTTTAAAAGATTTTTCTACGTACAGAATGCAGATTCAAATTTGAGGCGAGAACATTTAAAGATTATTAATCATAATATAAACTTTAAGAGACTATGAAAAATACATTAAATCATTTCTAATGTGCTTTAAGTGATAATGGTACTTGACAGAAGCAGCCATGATAAGGAAAACTTCAAAAGTCTTAGAACCAATTTCAAGTTTCACTGCTCATTGGGGTCAGATAAAACCATTTAACATTAACTCTTTATATGTACTGCATATGGGACTTGAGCACTTTCTTCACAAAAATCTGCTCTTATCATATTTTAGTCATTTACATGTTTTTGTTTGGTGTAATAGAGTTGTGTTATGCCATACACAGAAGAAGGCAGAAGACTAGGTCAGAGGACTCAAGATAGTGGAGAGTGTTGGTTGATGCTACATTGCCAGTGGAGGTTGTTGTGTCTGAACTGGAGCCAGATCTAGTGTTAATTGATATCAAGAAGCAACATCTGTTGCTTGACAAACTGACAGTGGCACGGGAAGAAGGGATTGAAGAGGCTCCTGAAAGAAAGTTGCTTCCATATAAGGAACTGGTGGCTGAAATCCATGAAAGAGGATGCAGCTGCACCCTGGTGCCGTTTGAGATTGGCTGTAGAGGATTACCTGCTGCTTCCTTAAAGAGATTCCTCAAGTGTGCTGGTATCCAAAAGCCGAATAAGGTGATAAAGACTTGTGGTGAAAAAGCGGTGGAAGTCAGTGCATGGATTACCCAGAAATTCTTATGGAGTCGCATCCAGCTAATGTCATCCAGCTGTTGCGGGCTCACTGTGTGGAGTGATACAGAGCTTAATGGGCCGAAACTTTGCTGAAGCATGGCGCTCAGCTGAAGATTGCAGCTGGTCTGGAGCACTTGATGTGTACATGTGTTTTTTTATGTAAAGTCTGATCAAAAAGTATCGGAACTGTTGCTATCATAATAGAACTAAAGTATAAAGTGAAGTTGCTTGGCACCCTTTGAGCTCTGTTGCACATATACACTAACTTATAACATCCTTGCTCACTTCCGTTGTTTATAGTAAGTGCTTAGAAGGAAATTGTGTACAGTGTGGTTGTCATACCACAATTGTTCCATCAGTGATCATGCTTGTGCAGCAGTTTTTTGTCAACCATTATGCAGAATATTAATAATATTGATTAATGACGTGGAAGCAAGTAAATATCTCAAAGAGAAATGTGTAAGATGGGCAAAAAAAACTGATGTCTTAACAGTAATTTTTAATGATGAATATAGAGCTACATTGGATGAATTTGATGCTTGAGTCAGAAGTTTTGTCCTTCATGGAAATAATCAAACAGCACAACTTAGATGACAACAGCAGGGAGGGCCTAAGATTAGTCATTAACCTCATCTTCATTCAGAAACCAAATTTACTTTTGTAAAAGGGAATAGTTATGAAGGATAGCATGCAGTTTGAAAAAGCAAACAATTTAAAATTGTAGCCAGTATTTAGGCAAAATACCTTTTAAATTAATCAATCCTTTTAGACATTCTTAACTTTTTCATGTTGTTTCATATTTGAATTGAATCATGTTCTTAATTCCAGTTCATTTCTGACTACCAAATCTTTTTTTCTCTCACTTCTCAGATAATGGTGGTTGGCCCGACTGATGTTGGGAAAAGTACCCTTTGCCAATTGCTACTTAACTATGCAGTTCGTATTGGACGGGCACCATTGTTTGTGGATATTGATGTAGGGCAGGTGAGCATTCTTGCAGTTATTCCCCTGCCCATCAAGATGAGGCAGGGGACAATTTTTTTCTCATTCTATTAAAAATATAGAAGTAATTTTCCAAATAAAGATATAACCTACAAAGTGAAGGACCACAGATTGATAGCATCTATTTTCAAAATTATTTTTAATAATATATATATATATATAATATGTTGCACATATAGTGCTGGTGTCAATAAAACAGTGCTCGATGTAATACAACATGGCTATTTTTTATATATTGCTAAATATACTATGCTTAGCACCTGAAGATAAGGGATAATATGTTGATAAATATTTATATTTATTTATGAGTGGTACTTAGGTCAATACCAAGTGGCATAGATTGCATTCAATCGGGAAACACTGTCACCACCCCATGTTGACCTCAGTGTTTGCTCTTATATTTACATGTGTTCTGTTCCTGATATTAAACACTTTTGTCCTTAAATATAGCATACCTTAAAACTATATTTTCTGTCATATATAGGATTATTACAAATATAAAATTTGTCACTTAGCTGATTGATGTTACATGTATGTATGTATGTATGTGCATATGTTATACTGAAAAATGTTACAGTATTTCTGGAAGAATTTTTTTTTAAGGCAGTCTCTGTAAATACAGTGGGCAGTATCAAGGGATAGAGCATTGATGATATCTACTACTAAATTGATTACTTATTTCTACTCTGTTTTTCAGATTCTGAAATCCATTCATCATTAGATGATTTCATCAAGCAGAATCATATATAATTTTACATTAGGATATACAAATCCTGACGGTTTTTAAATTTTGACAAATGGAAACATTTCATGAAATAGATTGGATTGAAAATAATTTGATAATGCATTTCACCATTTAAGGTTTCTGAAAAGGAAAGAATGAAATGTGTGTATTTGTGTGTATGCTTAAATAATAAATCTTAGTACTTTCTTCCTAAACTGGAATTTCTCATGATTAAAGAAGAAAGAAAATGAGTGACTTTTTAAAAAAATCATTATTTATTCTGGTATCTTTAATATTCTTAATTTGAGTCAAAAGTTGTTAATGTAATTTCCCAGTTGTATCGAATTAAAGGCAAATCCTTTTCTCATTATCAGAACGGCTCAAAAGCAAGAAATTCATTTTGCCATTTTTTAAAATTAATCCAAAGCAAATGATGTAAAGATTTTATTTTGCAACAAATATTTATAAACAAAAGTAAAATTTTTTAAATATTTAAATTTAAGAACACTCATAAATATACATCAGGCTAACTTAAAATGAAGGTAAATTATGGAGGATGCTAAGTGATGTAATTCAATGTTGAATAAATGAAAATGAGTAAATATGTGGTTATTGAATTATATATATAAATATATATATGTGTGTGTGTGTGTGTGCATTTGGGATTAGTTCATGTATTATAAATAATGGAAAGTTATAAATTTAGCTGTTTTATCTTTTAATTTTTTTAACATTTTTATGTTTGTTGGTTCAGAAAAGGATTAGGGATAGATATCTGAAGATAAACTGATGTTTTCCTTTTGTCTTTATTCATATTGCTTTTACAGATTCTACTTATATCTGAAATTTCACACACACACACACACACACACACAGTTGTCTATGACTATTGTTTAGGATGATTTTATTAAGGTTGACTGTTTGGGCTGTGTTATTGAATACTATATCTTGCAACATGCTGACACATTTTGAAATACAGTATTTTGTATTGTTGAAGTTATTGCTAACATTTTTTTGTTAAGATTTACAAACTCTACGTTTCATTCAATTTCACAAACCAAACAACAAAATTTGAATAAGCTGATTTGTTTGGAAAAATACTTGACAAGAACCTTACTTCAGTTTAATAATTTCTTTAATTTAACTTTATAGGGCTTCATAGTAAACAATTGTTTTTTCCTTTTTAATAACAAAGAATAAATTCTTTGGATTTCTTACACTTGAGCATGCAACATACAACTGGCCATGCATAAATATTTCTTTCTGGAACCAAATTCCAACTTTTTGAAGTGTTTGGCTTTGTGATTTGTTTATAATTCTCACAAATGCAGAGTGAACTGGAAACTAGGTTCTTGTATATAAAATCTTAAAAGATATGCAAAAAAACAATATTGCATAAGTATTTATTATTTTAATCATTAAATTGTTTTTAAAATAGTGTGAATATTTTGTATGTTAAATAATAAAACTTAATTTTTCCAAAAAAGATTAATGGAAATATATTATACTAAGCTATGCACCTTAGTTAAACCAACTGTACTTTGTAGCCCCTTGTTTATACTTTTCCCAAATATTTGGTTTTCGATTGGTCAGCATATGGCCATTTTAGAGGGTGTGATGGATGGACTAATGGAAGTCACAGAATTTTATATATAGATTGAAGAAATTGTTTTGTTTTTTTTTAATTTGTCATACTATGCATGTTGATTTGGCTTTTATTTATTTATTATTTTTAAGCAGTATTGAAATTAAAGAATTCTTATGATGAATTATTACTGAAATTGAAAATAATTTTCAAATTGAGATTTTTGTCCTATGTTTTGAAATGAATCTTGATAAAATAAACATTTGTAATTATTTTTTCTCTTTTTAGAGCATGATATCCATTCCAGGAACAATTGGTAAGGAAGAATTTAATTCCACAATTAAATAAAATTAAATTTCCCTTGAAATTTTGTTTATATTTTTGTCCTTAATTTAAACTTTTCTATTAATGTATATTAAAATGATACTTGAACTGTATTCTTATTTTCTCATAAAAATAAGACAATATAACATTTTAAATTCCACATATCCATAAAGCCCGCAAGCATGTTAAACTATCTTGCTCACAATTACCAACAATTTCTTTCTAAGATTAATTTAATTTGTTTATCAACTATGGGGTTAGGGAAATTATTGTTAATTACTGTTTGTTTTATATTTTTGAGTTTAAGAAATATTGAGTGTGTAGAGGATTTTAAATTATACGACAGCGAATGCCAACACATATACAAAATAGCTTTCATAAATAATTTAATAAATAGTGTATATTTAATATAAAAATAATGTAAAAAAAAATACTATTAAACTATTCTCCAGGAATCAACTAGGGCCATCCTTTTATAGGATTTAACATTGTTAAGCATTTTTTTCTGTGTAGGCAATCTAGGCATTGAGCACTTTACTAAGTAAGTTTGCCTTTAGACCTTTTTTCTTTTTCCTTTATTGAGTATTGTCATTTTTGTTTGAGACTTTATCTAGATAAGAGTTTTTTGATTTTGGCAAGTTTTCCATTGGTTCCATCAATGGTTTTTGTTTTTCTTTAATATATATGGTTTCACCTACAAAGGGAGTTGCAAGTCTAAACCTGTTGGACAGCACTCTTTTTCTTTTCTTTCTCCCCCCCCCTTTTATTAGTCTCTCAAATATGCAGGCTGGTAGACTTAATTCAAATGGTTTGAACAGGGAGGAGGGGGTCATCTACTCAAATATAACATTGGGAGAACTAAAAAAATATGTGCACATGCACTCAGTGAGTTGGAAGTACTGTCCATATACATATATATATTACAGAAGCGTTGAAAATAACATCAGTCAGCTAAGTGGCAAATTTTATAATTGTATTACTCATATATATATATATATATATATATATATATATATATATATCCCTGGACATGGATGAGGCTGCAGACATAGGAATCAATACTGTATGGTGATTGTCACTTCCATACTTCAATGTAACATTCAAACCAAGAGGCACTGCATTATTGAATTAAGTTTAATTAAAGAAGATTATATTGGAAATAATTGTTATGTAAAATAGATATTTATCTTTTTCATCTTAAACACCCCCAAAAAATAAAATATTTCTTTTTCAGTATAAGTATGAAGGTTACTCTGAAAGTAATGTTTCCTCTTCTATTATGTCTATGCCAAAGATTGATATTGGTACAGGTTGAACCTTCCCAGCAGTAACCTATAATTTTTTTTTTTACTTTGCCACCTTTCAGATAAAATGTTAACTGACATGAAAGTGTATAGAAAACAGAGGTGTATCATTGACATTTTATATAGCAGTATTTTATAAAAGTTTATGGAGATCATTCAGTAGATCTCAGTTAGGCAGTGGATAATGCATTTCAGCAGTGGCAACAGCGATGTTTGGGGTGCTTCCACTGGTGCAGATGTTCACAGGTGTGTCATGCTGGCAAAAATGAATTGGCAATGTCTATGGAAAAATAGTATTTTATAACTGAAAATTTACTCTAGCCAATTACGTTATCGTGCTTTCTGTATTTGCTTTAGTTTCCATGGAAATGAGGTATTACTTTTGGAGCATTCCTTGTAAATGTGTTAGAAAGATTTGTACATTAACATAAAATTCTTTATTAAACCATAAGTAAAACTTGTTTTGTTTGCTTGAAATGAAGTATATTTTTTTCTTTTTTTTTTTATAGCTGCTGCAGTCATTGAACGACCAACTGATATTGAAGATGGTTTTTCACAGATTCTAACCCCTCTAGTCTATCATTTTGGCCATTATAGTCCTAATGAAAATCTTGCATTGTATAACCTCCTCATCAGCCGATTAGCACAAGTTATTCAAACCAAATGTGAAACTAACAAAAAAAGTGAGTTGATATTTTTTTAATTTTTTTTTTCAAGACAGGAAATTCATACATTCTTTTTATTAGCCAAATACTCAGTCTATCGACTGAGAAAAGTTATGTCTATAAAATTTCTGTATAAACATTTTCAGTAAGGCATCTATTTTTTTTATGTTCCTTTTGTCATTATGCTAAGTCCACTTGAATTTCCTTAACTGGACAGAACTCCAGAGAGCTGACCATTAGAGAAACATTTAAATAATTTTCTAATCTTTGTATTAATAAAAAAAATGAATTCAGGTAACTTGTTTATTAGTTTGTTTAAATAATTTGATGCAGTTTTAAGAAAATCTAAGTAAACAGATTATTTTGACTTATTTAAATAATACAAAAGAATAGGTAATACAAACGCCAACTGCCAAAGTAAAGATGTGTTTTCTATCTCTACTTGAAGGGAAAAAAGGAAAGCTTAAAGGAATGTGATGATTATCTATTATTGTATTATGTTATTTATGTATATAGTTTATATAGATGGATAATTTGAGTCCTGTATATTATCTATTTAATATTCTCATCATTGTTTACTTAAGGTATTTGTTGTTATGGACTGCATAAATGTAACTTAAATATTGATTTATATATTATAGCATTTAAATACTTTATATCAGCAAAGCTGAATTTAAATTTAATGCAAGTGAACAGTAACTTATTTACTTTCTTATAATTTACTGTTGAAATATCAGACAACAATAGTTATGTGGAGCTGCAACGGGCTGGTGTCATTGTATCCAGGAGTTGTGTTTGTCAGGTGTGGCTGAAGGGGATTTACTTCCACACTTGCTCAACAGGATTTAAATTTGATAAGAATGGAGATTAATGGCATATTTAGATGTTAATCGAATATTCTTGGGACCAATTTCATATCTACTGGGCATGATGCAGACAGAGGTCATGATGTAGACAGAGGTCATGATATGTTGTTGAAGCAAACCATCATCACCACAAACAAGGCAAGCAAAACCTGATGTAAATGGTCTGCAACAAGATCACTGTAACTCTTGCTGAGATAGACTCCAGTTTCATGAGCAGTTCTTTTGAACAGGGCACATTTCCATACTGTTACAGAGCCACCATCAACTTGCATATCACCTTTTGGAAAAGCTGACTCTATATCTAAATATGACCTGGAGGAGATAAAACAAAAAAAAAAAAAAAAACTGAATATAGAATAAGCTGTGCCTGAGGTAGTTTTGCCCAACACCGCAAATTGCTACAAAGCCAAAACATTAATCTGGAAACTAATTCTTAAATAGCCTCATCAGATTGAGACTTTCATATGGATGTCATGCATGGCATCAAGCTCAGTTGGAAATATCTAAACTGTCAGCTGCATACAACAGTTTTTCTAAATATTCAGCGAGTAAAGCCTGAGGGTCTTGGCAGAGGTCATCCTTCTTTGAACATTTTGAAGGGTTACAAAGAAATTTACAAATAGCCGAAACCACATCATTTGAGGACTACCAACAGTAGCAACAACTAAAATGGATAGCACATGAAACTCTAAGTGAAAATGACACAATCAAGATTTTAACATTCCACACTACTTCAAATAAAAATTTAAAAAAAAAATTAAAAATTTTAAACCGAAAGCAGCACTGGCTGCTCAGTCAATGAATGCCAAATGTTTTCTTTTAGGAAAACGGTTAATATTATCATTATCATCCTGAAAGAGCTGGAAACCTGATTTATCTGACTAAAAGACATGGTCCCAGTCTTCTATGGTCTAATGGTATTGTTCTCTGACCCTGGTAAGGTGCAGTCAGCTCTGGGGTCAATAACAATGAACACACTGTGAATTGAAGTACATTCTCTGCAGTGCATTGACTGATGGACAAGGCAAGCACCAACATTAAATTGGAATGTAATTTGACACAATGTTTCCCCTTTTTTAGGGTTGGTTACTATCCTTGTCTATTGCTGGTGGCCTACTTCTCATATCACTTGTGTGATATGAGAAGTAGGCCCACCAGCAACAGTGTCTACAGTTTTCGCGTGCTATTGGTGTTTATCCAGAATTCATAATTTCTTGATATATTCCTCCTGTTACTGTTGCCTGAGAAAGATCTAGAACAGTTGTCCCATCAGTTGGTCTCTAACAACCATTCTCTAGTCAAGCATTATTAAATATTGTCTGTATCCCATAGCAGCTGCAACTACATTTCATTTTATGTCATATATGGTGCGGTGGATAAATTGTTATCTAAGTTATGCCAAAACGAAAAGAGCACTGACATCTCATTTTAACGGATATATTTTCCAAAATTACACAAAATTGTCTTGAAATATTAAAGAGTAAATTTATTCAATAAAATTGTCATTGGCTTCAATTACTGCCTCCAGATGATTTTGGAATCTCTTGCAATTCTTCTGGGCGGTCTCCTTGTTTAAGTTGGAGAATGCTGCCATAATTCTTGCCTTCTGTTCGTCTTTCGTGTTAAGAGTTTTGTTGATCTCTCACTCACTTGTGCCCCATGCATAATAATCAAAGGGGTTGCAGTCTAGGGAGTTAGGTAGCCAAATGTAAGGGGTGATGTAGTTGCAGAAATTTTCATGACTGCTTGTGTGGCATGGTGTAGAGTCCTGTTGCCAGATATAGGGTCTTCCAGCAGCCACCCTCTTGACCCAGGGCAGCATGTTGAGTTTGAGGTCCTGTGGGAAGATAAATGAAGGCATAATGTCACTTTCACTAGTGATCACACCTTTGTAATCAACATTAGACTCATCTAACTCTTTCCAATGCCTCTGCACTGTCCTCAGATTGAAATCCAAACACTCTGAAATGTTCATATTGGAGCTTCTGGTGCGAATACCAAGCAGTACAGTATGCTGTTTCCAAATTTCTGGTGGAGTGAATTGTGTCATGGTGTCCACCTGACCTGACTATACCATGCAGTTGACAAAATCCAAAACAATGTGCATGCGGAAAAAATGAAAAATATATAGTGGCGACAATTTACCCATCGCACCCTGTATACATCTGGCTGAGTTAATTTCTACAAGTGCTGGTAAGATGAAATGATCCAATGTACTAGTATCTTTAACTTTTTAACACTACAATTTATAAAAGCTACTGTAACTACTGCCTGTTAGACTAATCATGTCTTACCATTTCTAATATTAGACAATAAAATTGCATCAGCCGTTATGCTGATTATGTCATGTTGAACTTAAAAAGGAAATTGATTACTGCCTTGTCTTCTGTTGGGAGTTTAAAAAAAAAGATATGATCAATCATGTCCAAATAGTATCACCACAAATAATTGCAATATTTATACTACTATTACTAGTAGTAAGTGATTGTTTAACTGTTTAGGCAGTGATTGTTATAATGATTGAAATAACTATAGTTACTAATAAGTCTACTAATGCTATTTATTTTTACTATCACTATTTGTAAATGTACAAGTTATTAAGCTATTAAAACAGCAATAAAGAAAAGTTTTTAAAGTTTATTATATAGTCTCTTGTAATCCCCAAAGGATTATGGATTAAATATTCTTAATATCGGTAATTAGGCTAATTGATTTGTCATTGTTGCAGCTGGAAGTTGTTTGAAAAGTTGGCTTGACAATTGCACATTCATTTTTCCTAAATTTTAACTCTCTTTCCAGTCAGTTGCAGTGGCGTAGTAATTAATACCAGTGGCTGGGTAAGAGGTGGTGGATACCAGTCATTAGTACACACTGCAGGAGCTTTTGAAGGTTAGTGAAAAAAAAAAATTTTTTTTTTTTTTTTTTTTTTTTTTTTGTCTTCATGACTCTATCCTCAAATCTTGCTCTCTCCCTCCCCTACAAGCCTGCTAATGCAAAGGTGTGGAAAAACTTATCTTTTATTTGTTATAGAGTTGCCAAATTTGGCCAATGTAAATACAGGAGACTATTCAAATGATTTATAATTTGCTAGATATATACATAAATAAGTTTCATCCTTTGAAAGGACTTCAGGCTAATAATTGTTATCAATGGAACCTTATTGTGCTGGGAAAATAGTTTTGAAGGACAAATTGCACAAGAGGTATTTTCCATTTTATCATTCATTTACCTCCCTAATATATAGATTTGTCTATCAGATCTTGTATAGATGTTTGTAAATTGAAATAAAATATTATTGCAGGGGACAAATTTATATACTAAAAATGTTAATAGTACACAAAATATGCTTTTCCAAGATGCTGGAAAAGAGAAATTTTTATGGAAATCCCTAGCCTGGTAATTGCATAAATCAATGTGGTTTTTATTAAGAGTGAAAATTTCTACTTGATTTTCATAAAATGAAATTTCTACTTCTTTCCATAGAAATAGCAATAGAGCAGCAAGAGGCTTGCTATGTCTCATCTGTGAGAATAGGGTTATAGGGTGGAAAATAATTTGTCGCTCACAAGGATGTAAAAACCCTTTTCGATTCTATCAAGGTTGGAAAGTGAAAACTAGTCAGCTCCTGCCCATATATGGCAGCAGTACTCCATTTTTGACCTGATTTGGCTCTTATAAAGGTAGAGGATAGCACATGAAATCAGGTACTTACTGGGGTGGTACAGGAAACCAAACATTTTTTTTCAGCAACTTTAGCAATGGATTGTATATATGAGCACCGCTTGAGGTTTGGGTTTAGTTTAAGACCTAATAGGAACTCAAAGCATCTGGCCTCCCTCAGAGAACATCCATTCAACATGTTTAGTGATTGTTCAGAGTCTGATCAGCAATGATGAAATGTGACTAGTTTGGTCTTCAAGACATTGAATGTGACCAGCCAGTTTTCCCCTCACTGAGCTGTTAGAGCTAGCTCAGAGGAGCGATCAGCTGCCAATCTCTGATCATCTAGTTTTTTTTTGGGGGGGGGCACCCATATACCATATACCATATACCATATACCATTGTATCATCAGCATAGATATTCACAAATGATTGCAGTATACACGTAGGCAGATCATTTATGTAAAGTAAAAAGAGGGTTGGTCCAAGAAGCAACCACTGTGGGGTGCCTACATTGATTGCCTGAAGGAATGGATGTTAATAAATACCCTCATGGTCCTAAGCATTAGAAAGGATTTTATAATTGAAAAACTCTTCCAGTGATTCCATGACTAGAGCAATCCTTTATCACACCTTGTCAAAGGCCTTTGAAATATCTAATCCTATTGTCCTGGAAATGTATTTGTTGGTTAATGTCTCACTGATTCTGTGAGTAATGGCATCAGCAGTGAATCGGGCCAGTCAAAACTTGTACTGCTTGTTGCTCAAGAGGTTGTTCTTATTTAGGTGATCAACAACCTTCTTGTTGATTATAGCCTCAAAAAATAGAGAAATTTTGTTATAACGAAAATCAAGTAAAAACTTTCACTCTCAATATTACCACATTGATCTGTGGAATTACCAGTTTGAGGATTTCAGTAAAAAAAATTTTTAATAAAATTGAAAAACTATTTTTTTTCTTTTAATGTAATCAAATTAATATTTGCAGCTAATTAATAATTTATCAAACTATTTAAAAAAAATTTTTTAGGAATAATTCCAGAAATAAATTTTGTTTGCTGAACATTACCAGAAATTAGTTTTCATGCATTTGAAATCTATACTAACTTCATCAGTGATTGATTCATTCAAAAAAATATTAAAAACATGAACTTCCACAGCTTCTTTTATTAAAAAGGAAAATAATATTGCTTTATTAAGCAAATTTTCAGTTTTCAGATTTTAAAGTATTCAAAAATTTAACACTTTGAAAATTTTTTATGTCTTAAGATATGATATCAAAATACTTGTTAATTCTGAGTGATGTTGAAAAATTAATCAAATTACATAATCAACTATTAACCTGAAATAACTTTCACACAATTTTTTTTTATTAGCTTATTAATTCTGTATGTATGGAAGTCCATAAATATCAAATATGTTGATACTTTTTGAAAAAAAAAAAACTCATTAAAAATTTCTCATAAACTGAAAAGCAACCTGATCAATAAAACCTTTATCATAGTTCTAGGCAAAAACCTTTTGTTGACAAAAAATCTTAATTTTTGATGATGTTTTTTTTTTAATTTTATTGCTTCCATTCAAAACTTTCTAATTACCTTCAATCAATAAAGTAAAATGAATCACAATAAAACAACTTTAGACAGCTCAAGCTCATGTTATACAAGGAGCTCATCTTCCATGGATTGTGTCTGAAGCCTTTTAACCAATGAAACTTATAGTTAGCCAACTCGTATTGTTACTCTTCCTTATTCAAAGTATTAACGCAATGTTACTTTTGTTTTCAGTGTCAACAAAATCTCAAGAATTCATGTAAAAAATCTTGTATTGTGTTTTTTGAAAGGAAAAAAAAACAGTTGGTTCAAGAAAAAAAAAATTCTGATTTTTTTTTTTTTTTTATATAAAGAAAATTCAGTGAACAAAGGTGCAAAAGTTCTGTTGAATTGTCTCTTGAGCAATGTTGATCAATAGTCTAGCCACAACTGAAGTAAAGTAGCACAAAGAAAATGCCTCAAGGCTGTTTTTCTCTGGTTGTATATCAAGAGCGGCCATCTTGAAATGTCTCATCATGGTCAGCACTAACCACTGCAGACAATATGTTTATTTTTTTTGGAAGGTGGGGGTGGGAGGTTAATGAAAAATAATTTACTTTTTCTAGAATTCTCACATGTGTAGACAGATTGCCCTTTTCCTGAGACTAAAAAAATAAAAACAAAAAAAAAAATTGACAAAGGTTAAACATTGCCAAACTTTTTTTTCACATTTCAATTGAACAATCATTAAATTTTTAAATTGATTGTGTTCTTGTTGAGATATGTCACCCTCCTTCCCTTCCCTAAGTTTAGAGTAGCCAGTGTATTGTGATAGTTATGTTGGCAATCTTTTATTCAAAATTTATGGAAATCTATTCAGTTAGTTGATGGATATTTTAACAAATACAATTTGTATATAATGTTAAATCACACTGCATGGTATAAACTGGTTACTTGCCCTTGAAATGGATTATAATAGCAGAGACTGGAATCATTAAACTTCCTTCCCAGTCAATCTTATTTGAATAACAAATTTCTATAATTGCTTCTTTTTTTTCTTCTCAGTGGATGTAATTGTTGTCCTGGATCAAGAAAGGCTGTACAATGAACTTGTACGAGACATGCCAGATTTTGTCAAAGTTATTGTCATACCAAAATCTGGAGGGGTAATTATGGTTTTCTTTTATTCATTAGCATATTGTCTGCACCTTATTAGTTCATCTCCCATTCTATTATCATGGTAATAATAAAAATAAGATAATCTGACAATTTTTGGCCTTCATCAAGATAAAATTTGACAGTTATTAAAATTTTAATATTTTTATCTATTTTTGCCTTATGTTTTGCAGGATTTGCCAAATGTTTTTAAAATGTCTAAAAATTAAATTAAAAGATGTCAATGTTTTGAACCTTTTTTGTTAATGATTTTAAGGATTTAAAATAATACTGGAAAATAGTGGGGTTCATTTTGTTGAGTTTCTTGTTGAGAACAAAATAAATGTACCAAATTGTGAATGTACTGTTTAAAACATTCTTAGCAATTCCTTGTGTTTTTAAGAATTTAATTTTTTTTATATTTTTCTTTAATTTCAGCTCTATTATGTATTTCTTTCTTTCAAAATATTTATTTAAAATACCCAGTATAATCAAATTATTAGCACATTCAAAACTAGGATATAATCAGAAACTGATTTTCTCATCTTTTTTGTTTATAATGAAACCTTACCAAGTTTTCTTCTTCTTCTTTTTTTCTTTCTTTTTTCTCTCTTTCTCTCTCTCTCTTTCTCTTTCTTTCTCTCTCTCTTTTTCTCTTTCTCTCTCTTTTTTCTCTTTCTCTCTCTTTTTTCTCTTTCTCTCTCTTTTTTTCTCTCTTTCTCTCTCTTTTTTCTCTTTCTCTCTCTCTTTTTTCTCTTTCTCTCTCTCTTTTTTCTCTCTTTCTCTCTCTTTTTCTCTTTCTCTCTCTTTTTCTCTCTCTCTCTTTCTCTTTCTCTCTCTCTTTTCTCTCTCTCTCTTTTTCTCTCTCTCTCTTTTTCTCTCTCTCTCTTTTTCTCTCTTTTCTCTCTCTCTCTCTCTCTCTCTCTGTTGTCTGAGGTACAAAGTTTTTGGCAAAAAATATAAAAGATTTTACATATAAATGATTTGTGACAATTCTATACTTATCCAGCCAATTAACACAATTTTGTCACCTGTATTTGATCACTTCGTCTCTGTTCCATTTTGATAGTATTTTTTTTTTAAAGACAATGCCATTGTACATTTATATACAATAAGAAGGTAAATCAATTGAGTAAATTTATTGCACTATTCACTTTGTGATAGTCTGGAACTAAATCCATAATGATGATAGAATGATACCATTGTTGGGCCCGATGTCTGATTTCAACAGCGTGTTGTATAATTGTCCTCCAGTGGAATCATCCATGATTGTTGAAATCTATCATTTTTTTTTATTTATTTATTTTTTTTATTTTTTACAGACATGATATCTGCACTTCATATCTAACCATTTTGTACAGCTTCAGGTGGCTGAGTGTTAGTTTTGAATTCAAGGTTGTCTTTATCATAGACTGGTTAACAACTAAGGCTAGAGAGTCTTCTACTCTTTAACCCATGGCTGAAGGAAGAAAACATGGATTAATGCCTTTCTTAAAAGTATTTGTGCAAAAATGAATATAACAAATTTGGCTGGAATTTGAACTCTGTTTGTCAATTTCTCATCCCAATTTAAGTGTTACACCACCTGCACATCCACAATATCTGTATAGAGATACAGTAAGTAACTTGTAAATTAGAACAGTTTTAACTTATGATAATTGTTCCAGCCTCATAAAATCTGAGATAGCTTTTCAGCTTTCAACGGAATTATTACTTTGGCATGTAGATGATTTGTTTTTTAATTTTTTTTTTCCTCTTAAAGAAAGAAATCACTTGAGTAAGAATTTATTTTTAAGTACCACTAATTTTAATTTCTTCAAACTGAAAATAATATTTTTTTTGTAGGTTGTTGAAAGAAATGCACATAGTCGAACAGAAAGCAGAGACAACAAAATTCGAGAATATTTTTATGGAATCAGAAACTCTTTCTTTCCACATTCATTTGAAGTGAAGTTTTCAGATATCAAAATTTATAAAATTGGAGGTAATCTTTTTTTTCTCTTATCTTTTTTCTTACTTTCAATATTCGTTTTAAGAAATATTGGTTTTAAACTTTGAATAACTTTGTTTTCATACAAAGCTTTATGTGTATAACAATTTATTTTTGGTGATTTGTGTGTGTGTAATATATATATATATATATATATATATATATATATATATGTGTGTAGCATATCTTCATTTAAACATGTTTCATTGAATAATATAAACATGGGGTGTCTAATTTTTATACTGATCCTTTCCAGTTTCTTGATGTTACAATGAAATTCATCAAGGAAGGCACCATAGTTTTTTTTAACCCAAGTATTTTTGATCTGTTCTAAGATCATCTTCAGGGGTAAATTACAAAGAGAAACTTGTTGTAACTGCAATGAAAAAAAAATTCCGTTTAGATAGTGATTTTTTTAACAACACACATGAATTCGCTCTATTATAGTCATTTTACAATTTTAAATTTATCTCTTTTTGTTACGGAATTTTTTTGCAAAACAAGCATTTCAGAATAACCGGGAGCTAACCGGGAATTGATAGAAATGTAAAATGGCATTAGTTTATAAATGTTATATGCATTTTAATATGTTGTTGCTATATTTGTAATAAATTTTGTTGAATGTTGGTTGGCTGATTTTGATATAGAGGGCCTTGAGAAGTTGAAGTTTTTGCTTATTTTTGTGGTGTAGTATATTGGTCATCAAATATTTTCTTGTATTTTTGAAAATATATATCTCAATTTAAATGTTATTTTTAGTGATATCCATATTTGAGTATCCACTAAAAATACCTTTTAATGTGATAAAAATCTGTCGGATTAATAAATAAAAAATGCTATTACTACTTTAGATATATAATATCTGTGTGTGTGTGTGTGTGTGTGTTTTTAAGTAATTACCTGATTTTTTTTAATCCAATGTTATTACTATAAATGATATATTTAGTGGGTGCACCTGTTTCAGTAGACATCCCTGTTTTTAAACAATGAAATTAATGTTTCCTGGCTTAGAGATCAAAGACCTTATTAAAGAAAATATGCCTCCTGACAGAAATTAAACCAGTATTCTCCTTAATTTGGAAAAACACTTGCTTTGCTGTACTAGCTTTTCATGTCAGAAAAAATCACAAAGTGCTTCCAGTCAAGATATTTAAGTATTCTAATATATTCTTGGCTAATCTGGATTTGGGATTTAATTCAGATACTCTAATAAAAGGGGAATGATTTTTTGAAAATTGAGATAAAACCTTAGGATTTATTTTGTAAAATGAACACCAGCTGAATTTGTTTATGATGTGATGAATTTACTGGTCTTTTGTTACTTGATCAAAGAGTTGGCCAATAAGAGTTTCATTACACCTCACATAATGAGGTAAGAGAATTTAAAGACAAACTGTTTTATAAACTTGATAGACAATCTTATTCTTCATTCAACATTTTTTACTTTTTTTTTATTACAGCAAGTTTATGCCAAATTTTGTGCTCTATCATTTATCCTAAATAATAGAATATAAACACATTTTGGTAAAATTTTATGTTTAACTGCATTTTTTTTTCCTCCAAAGTTTTTTTTTTCCCCAAAAAATTTAGTGATTTTTATTTTTTAGTGATCTTTTTTTTTTTTTTTTTTTTTTTTATGACAAAAAAAATCCATTGAATTTTGTTTTTTCTTCCCTAAAAGTTTTTTTTTTTTTTTTTTTTAAAAGTTTTCCAAATTTTTAAAATGGAAGTTGGATTATTATAATTATGCTTATTTTTAGTTAAAATTAGTTTTATAAAGTTTGCAAAAGTCTTTTTTACATAAAAATTTACATTTTGGTTGTTTTTAGAAGATCACATTAAGAATCCCAATTTTCCATACAAGTAATTTTTTTCAATCTCTTTAAAATAGATTTAGACATTTCCTGCCTATTGCTAAATTTTTCTGGTTTAGACTTTTTCTACATATTGATTAAATTTATTGTGAAACATATGAAAGCCGGTGTTGTTTTAGTGTTTAAATTCTTTTTTAAATAGTAGCCTCCACAATTATAAATACCAAAATATGCTTACTAATAAATCTATAACACAAGAATTTTGTTTGAGCTCCCACTTTGCTTCATTCTCTTTAGACTTCAGGGCATACCAGGAGCTGTAAGCTTGGATGTGTGGGTAGTGTAAAGGATAATGGCTCTGAATTGAAAATCAGAGAGCCGAGTTCCAATTCCAATAAGTTTCATTATATTCACTAGTGCACAAATACTGTTGAGAAAGCTATGAATCCACCTCCAGCTATGGCTTAATTAGTAGGATTAATAATTAGTAAATAATTATTATCTTCAAAAATTCTTAAAATTTAAAAAAAATATTTGATAAGTCATAGTAAACAAAACAATCAATCATTTATATTTCAAAATTCTTGAAATTATATCAGAGCTTTGGTTAGCATAAAGAATGCTTAACTGGATTCTAAAACATGTGAATGTTACGGATAATCATTTCCCTTTCTATTTTTTTCTAAATTCAGTTTAATATTTTAAAATGAAATGTGGGTTTCTTGTTTGCTGAGAATTTTAGAATTTTTATTTTTATTTAGTTATTAGCACAAATTTTCATTGTTTTTGTTTTTTGGGTTTTTTTTTTTTTTTTTTTTTTTTTTTTTTACCAACCTTCAAATTGAAAAGAGTTTCAATCAAGATAATTAAGACATACCCCATATTAGCAGGAGATATTAAGAAAATACCGACAAGTACAATGAATGTTTCTGGAACGTCATCCATCTTCCCCCATTTGATTTAGTTCAAAAAAAGGTTTCTTTTTATACATTTATTACAAATTTATAACATTCTAATATTTAGGGGAGAAAAGTCTTATATTCAATTAAATATGGTAAATAAAAGTATTCATTATGAAATTCTTTCAGAGTTGAGGACTAATAATTATGAACATTGCAGATGGTTTATATTTTGGCTGACACAATTTGTGTTCATTTAGGATTAATGACCTTGAAAGGTATAAACCTACATTCTCGATAGCTTGACCAAAAAATGATTAGTGGAAATGAGTAAACCACTCTCCCATAACTAAATACTAAGTGGGTGGAGGAGTTGCAGTAAAATTTTGTTACATCTATTCTCTGAACCTCCATATAATCATCCAAGTTAAGTAATGTCAAGACTGGTCAGTATCTAGATGAGTGACTGATTGAGAATACAAGGTGCTGTAAGCTTGGATGTGCTTGTGGTGTAATGGATAATAGATCAGAATTGTTAAATGGAGAGTTGGCTTCCAATTTCAGTTAGGTTCATTATATTGACTTACACGTAAATACCATTGAGAAAGGTAGGAATCCACCACTTCTTCACCCCCAGCCATGGGTTAATTAGTTAAACTTGTATCACTAAATCTTTATTATCTCAAAAAAAAAAATTCTTACAATCTAAAAATGTTTTCTGGCTTTAAGTAACCTGCAAAAGGTTGATAAGCCGTAGAAAAAGAATCAATCAATTTCACTCACATAACTCTGGAGGGTTACTAGATTCCTACCATACTTAAGACTGGAAAATTAATTTTTTTTTTTTTTTTTTTTTTCAAAGCCAAGGCAATGCTGAAAAGTTCTCAGCTTGACCAACAAAGGGTTCCAAAATAAATTCTGATGTTTGGTCAGTTTACTTTTTGGGGAAAATGGATTAGTAGACTGAAAGTTTTTCAGCACCCCTTTGTAATCAATCAATTGGATTAGCATCTGAACACTCTATTTGGTCATCAGTCACTGAATGACTCCAGAATGAAAGATTGAGTATAAATTAGTGTTAGAAAATAAGAATAAATGACCTGGTTAAATAAATAGGAAAATCTTCATAAATTTAATGTTTCATTATTTATTTAGCTTCATCAGAAATTATTCTTTCAGTTTTCTATGCTGCTTTAAAGTAAAACCTCATAGGATTTAAAAATCAACTCATAACAGCATTATTTCACTTTTTTTCTAAAAACATTTCTGCTGAAGCTAAATAGTAAAATGTTAATAAATATTTTCCTTCTTGTTCTTTATTTATGTTAGTATAAATGATTCTTCAGATATATATAACTTTTCTTTTTTTTTTTTTTTTTTTTTTTTTTTTTTAAATATTCCTTTAAATTATAAATATGTTATTTAGTGATGTTTTATATACATGACTAGCAGTAGGGCCCGGCGATGTAACATAAGAGATAGATCAAGTATCGACCATCATAAAGACTGAAAAATAAAATTGACAAAGGTTATTGTTTAAGGTTGATGGACACGCATATCTTAATTAGTTTTGTTATATATTTTTTTTTTTTTTTTTACGAATTGGTCAAACTCAAAAACAAAAACATTGTTTTCAATCATCATGAGTCTACCAATTGAATAGAATTTTATTATAAACAATTGTCTTGTAAATGGAATTTTTAAAGCATTCTGAATGTAAAAATAAAGAAAAAAGTGTGCAAGACAATAAGAAACACTACCTGCCAAAAAAAAGTGAAGTTTTGTTGAAATCGGTTGAAAAATGTAGGAAATCCGATCCCATATATAAATGAACACACACACACAAACAACCAACCTGGGTTTTATAATAAGTATAACTCGATAACTTGATATTAATAAGTAAAACTCGGTATGAGTTGTCCCCCTTTCATTAATGCCTCTTAATCGTGTTTTCAAATTGATTTTGTGCAAAGACAATTGTATTTTCCCAATTTTTGGCACTGTCAGTACCACTGCAAGGTAATTTTACGTAGTCCTATGAAGTTTTGTTGAAATCGGTTGAAAAATGTAGGAAATTCAATCCAATATATAAACGTACACACACACACACACACACACACACAATCTGCATTTTATAATAAGTAAGATGTATAAAGTATTTGTTGGATTGTGCCAACTTTTGCCCTTCATAGAGCACTTAGTAAGAGGTAAGCTCGCTATCAATGTCTTAGGAGATTAATGTCTCCAACTGCATGACAATTATTGCTCCTTATACAATAATCTTACATATGCACACAATTTGTTCATCAAGGAAGCTGACTTGTTATTCATACCATTTATGACTGCTTCAGTTTCAGGTATCTCTTCTCTTTTCTGATGTAAATTATTTTTCTTTTTAGGTCCAACATTGCCTGATTCTTGTTTGCCTCTTGGTATGAAACCACAAGATAGCAAGACAAAAGTTGTTCCTGTACAGCCAAGTACGTTGGTGCCATTCCTAATTCTATAAAGCTTTCAAATTTGCCAGCTTCATGGAGATAAACAGACTTATTGATATTGTTTGGTAGAATTTCATGGAGAAACCTTTCTTTCTTTTCTTTTTCTTTTTTTATTATATATATCAAGCAGTTGGGATCATAGAGCCATTTGTAAACTCCACGATCCTTTCATTACCTGCATAGTATACACTTCACCAGGGCTACATATGGTTTTTGAATTCAGGGTTGTCCTTCTTTTAGACTGGTTGCGACCCAAGGCTCAGTCTATCCTGCTATTTATATAGTTGCTGGAGAGGAGAGATGAATACATACCTTTTTAAAAAAAAAAAAAAAAAACTTGACCGGAATTCAAACTCAGTTTTCTGATTCCTTGATCCAAGCTGCTGTTCATTACTTCACCATGCTTCCTAAAAACTCCTTGCATGTAATATAATATATATATATATATATATATATATATATATATATATATATATATATATATATATATATACAATTAAATAATATAGACAAGTGTTGTCTATTTATTTTATGCAAATTTTTTTCGTAATTTTTTTGAACAAAAAGAAATTCACAATATTGATACATATTTTTTTAATATAATCTAAGCTTTCGGCTTACTTAAGCCATTATCAAAGATGTCAATTGCAACATATTAAGCAATATACGGACAAGACAGTGATGATAGTCTGTCATTGTTTACATAGATGATTTCTAAGCAACGATAAACATGCGCATATAAGACGCTAGAAAGCGAAAAAAACACCGCATCTCATGACGTCACATATGACCACACGAGAGTAAATTGTAGAAGAAAAATATAAACCAATGGCTTCTGTTACCAATATAGACATTTAAAAATATTTGTAGAGATGCCATAATTGATTTTGTTTAGGTTGGGTTTCAACTGTTTGATGTATAATGCTTCAAGTATTTTTAGTTTTTTTGTCTATTGTTTTCATGTTCAAAAATAATTATTTTTCAACAAGTATTTTATGGAATTGTGTGTGCAGGCAGGCATGTTGTAATATATATATATATATATATATATATATATATATATATATATATATATATAGTATGAAGAAATATAGTCTTATATTTATGGGATAAAGTGCTCAATATCAGATAGAGCATGTGGCCTGAGGATTGCATCTAGCATGAAACAGACTGTCGCCTCTAAGTGTTGACTTCTATGTTCACTTTTATATATTTTATATATATATATATATATATATATATATATAGGAATCCGACAGAATAAGATAAAGAACAAATAGAAGACATTGATCAATCTAACATTTCACTTTTGTGAAAGTGTATGATTTTCATCGGTCAATCATGTATCACATGCAATCAACTTTTTAGTCTCAATACAATTTGTGGAATTTTGAATTCAAGGTGTTATAGTGGAACACACCTATTCTGTAGTTAATAGACTCTCCCACCTATAATAAGTAGGAGTAGTAAGAGTAACGAGTGAAGTTGCTCAGTGAGTTGGTCAGCCAGTTGATGCCGGACGACCGTTAGTCGGATACTAAAGTATCAGTGATCACAACTAGATTTCTCTGCATCATACCTATTATATCAAGTTCCTAACGTTTTGTACGTCGAACCTTTTTTAGGACCGACTTAGTACAAATACAAGCCTCCACTGTGAAATCACTCCATAACACAAGGTGAGATGATGAGTCCTTCTAAAGTTTCAAGAATCTAACAGATTCCAAACCTACCTGAAAAATGGTAAATATTGCAGAAAGGAAAGAATAGCATGTTTATCTAAAACAAACTATATGTAAAAACTGAAAAATTTTTAAAAGCCACTAAGCTCCTAACCAAAATGTCTTTGAACATTTTGACACACTTTTCATTGATGTTGGGAGTGGAAGGTCTTGTTGATGGCCCATGCAAATGTGCCTCCACACTGTGCAGTCTAACAGATTCAGACTGAAGGAGCACTATAAGATATATATAAAATATTTCCTACTGACATTCTCTTTTCTGAAGAATAATTTACAGAATGGTAATAAATTCAAAATAATTGTAATTTTAAAAACAGAAAAGCAACAGCCATTATAGTAAATTGGCATCAGTAACCTATCATCATAGACTGAAAATGTCATGTTAGAATCAGAAAAGATTGAATTCTTCCTGCTTCTTGCTTCCCAGTCAACAATGGTCTTCAAAAATTGAAATGCAATGTCAATTGTTACCTTCTGTCTTAATTCTTGTTCTTTTATTGTCCTTTCTCTCCTTAATAGTAGTTTTTTCTTATATTCTCTAACACTCATTAACCCCTTGTATCTTGTGGCTTTATTGCCTTGCTTGGGATGAAATGATTAAAAAAAAAAAAGTTTTATTGCTAATTTGTTTTGGTCCATTTTTGATTCTCTCTCAGGTGTTGGATTGATGCATCATGTGATGAGTTTGAGTTCTGCCCTGACCCCTGACAAACTGGTTGAAGTTAACATCCTCGGATTCCTTGTAATGTGAGTCTCAAAAGATTTTTAAGAAGTTTGAATTGTCAGATCAGTAATAATTAATATTATATATCAATAAATAGGGAGAGTCTTCAAGGTTATTAAGTACAGTACCTATAAATAATAACCTAATTGAAAAGCCAAACAATGCATTGAATAAAATAATCTGATTAGAAACAACAAAGATTAGGATACTTGTTTGAATAACTTGTTGACTAAAACTCTTGTGTCTGACAAATTATTAGTGTATATCCTAATTATTATTTTTAATCCAAGAGCTTCTGTATATTTTCTGTAGTTTCTGTAATGCTCTACATCTGATATTTTTCAAAGATGTGTTCTAAATGTTTTTAAGAGCTTCTTGTTAAATTCTTCAAGTGATGGTAATCCACTTTTGTCACTATTAAAAATGCTTAAACTTATTTTTTGGAGAATACAATCAAATATTTTCACTTTCTGAATTATGCAAGCATCACCTTTGGGGCTTAGATTAGAAAACTGCCTCAGAACTGCCAGAATCTTGGTACTCGTTTCTGCTATTATAACATTGGAAATGAAATGCACCACTGAATAGTATTATTAATGATCTAATAATATAGTGGAGTCATGGATGCTCTTTTGAGGTACACAGAAAATAAGCTTTGTAATAAAAGTCTAAGGTGCTTTCAATATAGGCAACATTTGTGTTATAATGAGCTTTGTAATGCTTATAAGTACTGCTTCGGCAACTTGTAATGCTTATAAGTACTGCTTCGGCAACTTGTAATGCTTATAAGTACTGCTTCGGCAACTTGCCATGATGCCTGTATTAATAAATCTGAAGACTGACTCCAAACAGCTTCTTACCTCTAACCTGGTGCTCTTTTTAGTTATGGACTAGTTCATATAGTCTTTAAGTACTGCTGACATATTACTTTATAAACAGACTCAACTTCTTTGAGATTGATACTAATAAAAAATAAAATATTAGTATTTCCTCTTTCTTTGAGAGTTCACAACTTGTATTTTGTAGTGTTTCTATCTCGGTCCACTTCCAGTTCTTAACTTATAATGCTTTTTTTTGCTTTGGCAACTTGTCCTTATAAGGTTTTGAAACTTGTTGATGGTGCTATTAATAAATCTGAAAAAATATCATATAGCAAAAACCTCTAACCTTCCAATGTTTCAAGTCTGGACTAGTTCGATGCACCTTTTTTTTTATTTTTTTTTTTCCTAAGCTTTTTAATTTACTAATAAAAAATAAAATTTTATATTTTCTCTTTCTTTTCTCCTTATTTTACCATGTTTAAATCAACTTTCCAATTCTTGCTGATATTACTTGTCCTTGTAGGTTCCACATTTTTTTTTGGTGCTTATATACTCAAAAAATATCATATAGCATTTTATTGTTCTTCCAATGTTTGAAGTCTTTTCTTTTTTTATCCATTTGTTTTTTCCAGACTTTTTAATAATGATAACTTTTTTGTTCAAAAATTTTTTACTTATACCATGTAAAACAATTAATTCCATCTGATATTATGTCTAATGGTGTATTTTTTAGCTATTTACTTATAAACTCTCAGAAAATTTTATTAAAGTCCTTGAATCTTTTTTTTATCCATTTGACTTTTTTTCTGGTGATAACTTGTTGAAACTTTTGAACATTCTCAAACCGTTCTGCCTGTCCATTAAATCTTGGGTCATACAGTGGGGTTGTAATAATGCTCATTGGAGAACATCTTATAAAAGTCTTTGAATTCTTTACCTGTGAAATACCAGGATGTCTTCTCTGAAAAGCCTTCAATATTCACTTCTGTAACACTAGGTATTACAACTTTATTTTTGCAATAAAAACGTCATTTTCTGCTTTTTCTTTTATTTCATCCAGACTCTCATACTACATTTCTCAAGCTGTTTTTTTATTTCCATTTTGCTTTTTAGTGACTTTGTCCTCAAATGGTTCTGCATTTTTAGGTATTAATCTTGATAATCCATTCACGTCCTAATTTTTTTTAGACGGTTGGTACTCCATCATAAAATTATAGTTTAATAAGATGGTACTCAAGTGTTGTAATCTATTAGCTGTATGCATAGGTATTCCTTTCTTTGACCCATATATTGTTAATAGAGGTCTGTGGTCTGTTTGTAACCTAAAATTTCTTCCATGAATAAATTTATGAAATTTCTTCACAGTAAATATAATTGTGAGAGGCTCTTTTTCTAATTGGCTGCAAGTGTGAAGCATGAATGAAGGCTTACCAACATAGTATTTGTGTAAAATCACCACTCCAATATTGTACTCGCCAGCATCTAACACCACTACAATTTCTGCTTTTGGATTGTAGCATGCTAATAATAAATCTGATGTAAGCCTTTATTTTATTTCATCAAACACCTTTTTGACAGTTATCATTGCAGTTCCACTTTAATCCTTTTTTAAGTAAATCATTCAGTGGAGCTCTCAAATTATGTATATTATGTACATATATTTGATAGTAATTAACCAGTCCTAGAAAAGCTTCTATTGTAGTCACATTCATTGATGGAGGTATGTTTTAAATTGCACTTGCCCTCAACAGATCTGGTTGATGACCATTTTTATCAATAATTTGACCAAGGTATTTAATTTTCAGCAAAAACAATTTGCATTTTTCTTCACTGAGTTTGAATCCTTACTCTCTTAATTTTTCCCAAATTGTTTTCACATGTTGAATTTTAACATGTGAAAACAATTTTTGATTAAAATGTCATCCAGAGATGCTACTGCAAAATTGCAATCCACAAGTATGGTATCCATAGCTTGTTGAATTTTCTTCAGTTTCTACTCTGTACTTTGTCACCTCTGAGAGCACTCTGCTCAATGACAGACGCAACTGAGAGATGATAAATAAACGTGTTACAAACTAGAGCAATTTACACTGTATTTACTTGACCCCACCACTGAGTCTGGTTGTGACACAAGGTCAGTTTTTAATGTGGGGACCCGAGTGTCTTCACTCGGGCTACTGGTCTTCACTTGTACAAGACAGTCAGTCAGTCTAAGCTAGTCATATCTGTGATACTACCAGCACAGGGATGGATCCCTGTGACCGGTAAGTATCAGAATGTGTATACCACTCAAGAGAGAATAATTTACACACGGTATTTACTCTGTCCTCTAACTAGGACATGATGTGACACAAGGTCTATTTTTAGGTGGAGACCTGAGCGTGTACACCCGGGACAGGAACAAAAATTCCCCCCAGCCCCTGCAACCATCGGTTGCACTGGCATCGGTGCAAACACCAATCACTTCCTCTGGTGCAATGGGAAGGTGCGGCCTCGGGCACCTATTCCCCAGGGCTGGGCACCTCTCAGTATTATTTTCCTCAGTTGCCCCTCTCTCCTTTGATAGAGAGCCCCTGAGCGCACTCTGTCCAAGGGCAAAGATGCAACTGAGAGATAAGTAGATGTGAAATTACTCAAAAAGAGTAATTTGTATTTACTATGAATGAAATGCTCATTTAAAATTTCTTTCAAAGATTTCAAGTAGTGAATATATCTTTGTGAAGCAATAGTGAGCAAGCTAAGTCTGCTAATATATATATATATATATATATAAACTAGGATGTGGTCTCAAGCCTTGAATGTTAGCCTTCCTAGACATGGTGTTTTGATAAAAACACTCTGTGAGTGTCTGAGTTGGGCGTCAGGAAGAGCATCCGGCCTTGTAAAACTATGCCTCAAATCATTAACAAGTCCTTTGTCAGTCTGGACCTATGTTGCTTTGTATGAGATTAATCCCATTCCTGCCTCAACAAAAAAATGTATGTATGTATAAATAAATACATACATACCATTTAATTAATTAATTAAAATATAAAATTTTTAATAGATTTGACAAATTCCGATCTTATTTTTTGCCTACTGAGTAGCATATTTTTTTCTACTTTAACCCTTTAGCTTTCAACCAACCCTGTAAATATCAGCTTTCAATGTTGAACCCACTCTATATACTCTCTTCCATAATATATGATGATATAATTCCAAATAACACAGGAAGTCATGCAAATAGTGAGACTTTGAAAGCCAATATTTATGGGGTGGGTTTGGGTATGTTGAATGCTAATGGATTAATAAATGCATGGATTTGGAGTGGGGGTAAAATGTAGTGAATGTTCATTTTATTTATTTACCCTATAAATAAATGAAGTATATTGTTTTGTTTTTTTGTTTTTTTCCAGTACTAATGTAGATACAGAAAGACAGATGTTCACAATTTTGGCACCAGCACCCCGACCATTACCAAGGAACTTTCTTCTACAGATGGATATCCAGTTTTTAGACATCAAATAACTTTAACACTCCCTCCAAAAATATGATGATCTGGTCCTTTGTTTTTTATTTTAACGGATTTTTTATGAGAAAAATATTCATCTAAATTGGCATCCACTTCAAATCCACTTCATCAAAAAGATCTATTTTTTTACAAAACAAATAAATATTTTAAAAAATTAAATTGATTTTTATTAATTGTTCACTGTAAATAAATAAAAAAAAAATTCTCTTGAAATTGAGTTTAATATTTTTGAAAATAAACTGTCAATTTTTTAGCTTTTTTAATTTTTTGAAAATTTAGTTAGTTCTTTAATATTCATGTAAATCTTTCTAGAAATGGAGAGGGTTACTTTCTGATATTATTTTAAACTCATTTTTTTCTCTCTCTCTCTCTCATATATACAGTGTGATGAATAAATTGTCTAAATTACACTAAAATGAAAATAACTCTGACATCTCATTTTAACAGAGATATATATATATATATATATATATATATATATATAATGCACACACACAACAAAAATATCTTGAAATACTAAAGAGTAAATTTATTCAATAAAATCGCCATTGGCTTCAACCGTTGACTCCAGATGACTTGGGAATCCCCAGCAACTCTTCTGGACATTGATGAATGCTGCCATAATCCTTGCCTTCAGTTCATCTTTGGTGTTACAGAGAGTTTTGTTGGTCACTCACTCAATTGCACTCCACACATAATTATTAAGTGGGGTTACAGTCTGGTGGCTAGTTGTAAGGGATGATGTGATCACAGATGACTGGGTTCTCCTGCTTGTGTGACATGGTGCAGAGTCCTGTTGCCAGACATCGTGTCTTCCAGCAGCCATTCTCTTGACCCAGGGCAGCACTACTTCCTCAAGGCACTATGTTGAGTTTGAGGTCCTCACCAAAATAATTCAGGAGTTCTTATCAGAACAATCAAAGTGAGTTTTTGAGCTGCCATATCTTCGTAATCACCATTCGACTCCTCCAACTCTTTCCGAATCCTCTGCACTAATCCTAAGATTGACACCCAAACACTCTTCAATGTTCATATTGAAGCTTCCAGCATGAAAGCCAAACAGTACAGTATGCTGTTTACAAATTTCAGGCATCATGGTGCTCTTTTTCTCAAACGCTGCCCAACCAGCCCTACTATACTATGCTGTTAAGATGAAAAACAATGCGTATGCACAAAATAAAAAATATAAATTTACAACAATTTATCCTCTGCACTGACATATATTGGAAAATTTCAATTTTCATCTGAAATTGATAAAATCCGAACTTTAAGTAAAAATGCTCAAAATATAATAAAAAAAAAAAAAAGGTCAGTTTAAACTGATGGCAAGAGTCTATAGGTTAATTAATCTTGACATTTGGTCAGTTCAAGAAATTGTAAGAAAACAAAGGTAAAAATGAATTTGTATGTTTGCATCAGAAACAATATCAAAAGGAAAATGTATGTGTGGCACATGGCCACCAATATAGAACTCTTGGTGAGGACTGAACTTGCAACTCAGTAATGATCTTTGAGACAAGCTTGCAAACCAATGTTCCAGGCTGAATGTTGAATACTTCCAAAAAACTACCAATAAAACGTTGTTATGCTTATTTTTATTTGATAGACAAAAATTTTGTAATTGTATTTCTCTTTAAGTTAAAAAGAAAGACAAATCCTGGCAATTTGTCAACATAAATTTTTACTTTTATTATGACGAAGATGAGAAAAGTTTTTAACATTATTCACCATTGAATAATTGTAATGTGTCATTTATTAAATTCAGTATCAAGTTCTCTTTCTATAATAACACCAGAAGTGTCCATGACAGGCAAGTCATTCAATTCCATGTAGTGGACTTTTCTAGTTAAATAAAAAAAAAAAAATGTGGATGAGATGGAGCAGCCAATCACTACTAATAATGGTACTTGCCCTATCAAAGTGATGATATTTCGTGTACTCTTTCTGCAGAAAGACAGCACATGGTTGCCATCTGGAACATCTGGTAATGAAAGATTGCATATGGCTGCCATCTAACATCTGGTTATGAAGAAAGAAAGTATTTACCAGCTTACCCTCCATGATCTTTTAAAAAAAAAAAGTTAATCAAGATATAAGCAATTACTTACCCCAATATCTAGTTTTGGTATGTATACAAAGGAGTGCTGAAAAATTCTTGACCTACCCACTTCCCAAAATCAGTATTCTCATGATAATTTGGTAATTGTTCAACAATCTCATTCAAGTCCTATCTTCTTATTAATCCCCTAAATTGATGATTTTGATGATGATTTCATTTTATTAGCTTTCTTCTGAGAATTGTAAAAGAAATAATTTGTATTAAGAGAAAATTAACTTTATTTTAATAAGATCCTGATGAGAAATAAATATCTGTTTAATGTTATACTTTCTTGTCTGTTCAGTGGGGATCTCATAAAATTAAAAGGAAACTTTGTCCATTACCCAAATCATCAACATGTGACCAACCAAGCCAAATAAACTTGCTTTAGTTTTTCACTCACCCACTACAAAAAAAATACCTCGGACTAATAAAAAGGTTTGAATATTTTTAATTGTAAAAGGATTACTCACTGAATAAGACTTAATTAATAACAAAAATCAGATAAGATTTTATATAATACTTCTGGGCACAAATAAGACAAAATGTTTTAAATTTGCATTGTTTATTGAAAATCACACTAAAACTACTGCAACATATAACATCATAAAATAGCTAAATTGTTCAGTATAATTTCACTTTGAAGTATACGAAGGTCTTATTTGATGACAAAATGATTTATTAATAATGTGCTTGTGTCATAAATATACAATTTGTAAAGCTTCAGTAAATTATAAATTTTATAAGGCTTTCACTGATCACTGTAATGAAATTCAAACTTTGAAGATTTGGAAAAAAATATTTTGTGCTGTTATTTGTCAAATCCCAATTATCAAATTGAGTGCAATACCACAGTTCTAAAATTGATCTGCCCTAATGTACATGTCATTATTTCCTTTTAAATACAAGAAGACGATTAATAAAGTTAACCAAAATCTAGATTTCTTTTCAGAGTGACAAATGAATGAGCTTATTTGCTAAAATTTAAATTAATGGCTTAAAAAATAAACCTTTTTGTCTTTCTGGCTCCAAGCCAACAGCATTTTTCCATAACCAAAAAAAAAAAAAAAAAGCACCTGATGGAATCGAACCATCCACAACTTTTGACAAAGCCATGACTCCAGTGATGCTTCCAATAAAATGGTAAATAGAAATCAGCCGCTGCCAAGACCCGATCTATACAAGAGTAACAGGGAAGCATTATAAGTACTTCAATGGCTTCTTGCAGGAAGGCACTTTAGTTTTAAATTAGTTTTACTTCCTTAAATGTATAGCATTTGGGATTTTCAAAATCTCTGCCTATATTTCTGAGGTGGTGTAACTATTTACATTATTCAGACTGTTGTCCTCATCTTTATTGTCATATTTACAATGTTTCAGCTGTTGTATGCTCCAGCCTTCTTCAAGTGATATACATTGGAGTTTCAAACCAAACCTTTTATTTAGTCCACGGGTAGACTGTTCTAGTTTCATGTGCTATGCCTTTTCCCTCTTCTTATCACTGGCAAACACTTAACTATTGACTTTAATCTTCATTGCCTTCTACTGTAGCATTGTGTAAGTTGAGGCTTTGTAAAATATCTACAAAGCATCTCTTTAGAACCACATGACAATTTATATCATCAATGTTTATGAGTGCATGACTACTGAATGACGGGAACATGACAAATTTTTTAAAAAATGGCATTACTCGCAAATATATTTTTAAGAATAACATTTTATCACTTTCACATGAAAATTGGCTTGAGGTATGAAAAATAAGATGTAATCTTGAACAAATGGAATCCATATTGAAGGAGTAGATATTTAGATACTTAGAATCAATCAAAATACCAAATCTTTGGTTAGATCCACAGACGGAGACACTAGTTTCTTCAACATCAAAGCAGAGGTCCTTCAGGATGATACCCTTGCACCTTTTCTCTTTGTTTTTACTCTACGTATTGAGAACTTCCCTCGACAAACATCATCATCATATAGGTTTTACTTTATTACCAAGACTCTTAAGTTGATATCCTGCAAAAAAGATGACCTAGCTATCACTGCAGACACCATTACCAATGCCACAGTTCTCCTACATCATCTAGAAAATGCTATAATGATATTGAACTTTATGCACATGACTGTAAAACTAAATTCATAGGCTTCAGCCAGCAAACTCTTTCAGGTGAAACAATAAAATCTGTCAAATCTTTTACATAACTAGGAAGCAAAATAAAGGAAAAGGATGTGAAAATTTGCATAAAACCTGGGCCATCTAAAATAAAATAGATGTAATCTAGAAATCTGATCAATCAGACAACTTCAAACAGCGAGACACTGTAGGTTTAACATATGGTGTCACTGCTTGAACAGTAACTAAAACTCTAGTATCTAAGCTTGATGGCATCTACACTTGAATGCTGAGAGCTATACTTAAAATCTCTTGAAAATAACATCCAACTAAATCACAGCTCTATGGATCCATCTCCGATATTTTTACAATCTTACGTGAATACAGAATGCACTTTGCAGGACACTGCTGGTGAGCAAATTAAGAACTTGTGAGTGATCTACTGTTCTGGACAGCTAGCCAGGGAACAAGATGGGTCGAATGCCCAGCAACTACCTACATTGACCAGTGATGTTATGACACAGAATGCCATAGACTCATGAATATCTGAGCTAGCTCAACTGAATAAAAATAAATAACTTAGATTTATTTCACTAGATATATGTCATTTTGTTGCACTACCTTTTGCTATTTCTAGAGCAGCTTCAGGATTCCAGATTTGGCATCTTTCTGGGTAGTGAAGTGGTATTTTGCGAGCTTTCAGAGAATTCAAGTTTTTTCCCATTAAGCAAATATAGAGATTGAAATGGTTGGTTGGGTTTTATGGAACATCAACCACTGTAGGT